TTGTTAAAATCTGACAAAGGAGACAAAATTAATTGGAAATGACAGAATTTCAGCATTTTACGTGGTTGGCTGCCAAGACCCAACAGGAGGGTTTGGTTCCCAGGATGTGATGGATTTATATCAGTAGAACTCAAATTAAAAGGAAGTTACCTCTGTGTGCTTGTAAAAAAATCAGTTACAAAATAAAAGTCTAATCATTTCTCCTTATCATATATGAGTAACAACTGTAAATAGTTTAGTGGCTAAACATAGTGTAGCCATAATTAAATCATTCCAGCAAGATTTTGTTTCTTTGATATATGGTTTGTCTTTAGCTGATCATAAAGAAAATAACTGAAAATAGTCCCTTAAAAAAATTAAATCTTTAAATTTGTCCTTGGAGAAAAAAGCCTGCACTGTTCTTCCTTGCCTCCCCCTCTCAAATCCACCCTACAGATTTATGGGCAGCCAAATCCCTTGTGCTGCACTTTTCCAAGCAGCTCTTCAGACAGAAATATTTCTTAAATGTTTATCAGCTCTTGAAAACCGCAGATAATTTCAGGCTGTAAATTTTGTAGTAAATCCTGATCCCAAGTAAATAAGAGACAAAAGGATAAAGAAAACCAAAAGTTTTTAGCAGAAAGAGAACAAACACTGAAATGGAATTAAAAGAAATGCTTACTAGAAATCATTATAATGAAGATTTTGCATCCCTGCATGAAGCTACAGGATTTCCCCAACGTTTACTTTTTATGCATGTCTCACTCACCATAAATTTTAAAAGCATAATAAGCTTTCAAGTCTCTGGGAGCCATTTCACTTAGCACTGAAAACATGTCCAGAAAATTATCCAAAGTCATGTTGCCGTCGCCGTGCTCTGAGAACACCTCTGCAATGCGCTGCCGGAACGGGTTGTCCTGGGAAACAGAGGAGCAAGGGAAGGTCATCCTCACCAGCATTGATTTCAGTGCAGATAAGGGAGTTGGAGCGAGATTGTTTTTGTTGAAACCTCTTTTTGGCAAATTCTCCCCTTTCTGCCATTCTGTTCGTGTCAGAGGCAGACACAGCTGCTTTAAACTTTGTGCGGTTTCAGGGGGTTTTCTGGGAATCACCAGAAGCTTCCAGAAAGACTTCTGCCATCAATAACCCAAATTTATTTGTATGCCGGGCTGCCAGCAATTAGTCCTGGATGAATTATTAAAATAGGGCAGATTAAACTGCAGTGTGTCACTCGAGTCGTGTGCCTGGCTCGTACCTTGAGCTCTGGCATGCTGGCAATGAGCTCGTAGGGCAGGGTCACAGCTGGTTTGTCCGTGTAGTCCAGGGGAACGAGCTGAGGGGCCAGATCTCGGTACCTGTAAAACAGCCTGAGGCAGAAAGAAAGGCTTGTTTGGTGAATGAGGCCTTTAGACCTCTGAGAACAAGGTGTTTGCCTCTTCCACCTCACTTTTCACTCTTTTCCTCCATTACCAGGTGGAGATCGGCCACTAAGTAACACATATGTTATATATATTATATATCACAGAATATTCTGAGCTGGAAGGGACCCACAAGGATCATGGAGTCCATCTCTTTATATATAACAAGTATATCTATAATATATCACAGAATCATTATGTTGGTGGTGGAAGAACCAGTATTAAGAGCAACATGGTGTAACTGGTGAAAAATACAAAGCTTCATTCTAGAACAATGAGGTGAAAATGCTTACACAGCTCATGCAGCAAACCCCTTCACACCATGTATCCAAACCCACATTTTAACGGTGTCAGATTTATTCTACAGAGGTGTTCAGGTGTGTGGCGTCACTGGATGTGTGTTCATGATAACAAGGCACAAGACCTTCAACCTGAAGGTCCACCTGATTTGTTTCCAAACACACAAACGCTGGTGGCAAGGCAGAAGGGATCTGTTTGCATAGTGTGGCCAAAAAACAACGGGCTGAAACCGGAGCGTGAAAAATTCGGTTTAAACATCAGAATAAAACCTAAAGTTACGGGCAGGAAGAGAGGTCTGGATCCACCCTAACAGGATTTTACCCATCCCAAGTATCTTCCTGTTTTTCCACAGAACTCAGGTTCAAGAGACAAAAAATGTGCATCAGGATTGGAATGTATTGACCACTTTTTCAGCGTCTTTGCTTTCTTCTTGTGCTAGAGAAAGGATCCCATTCACAGCTGTTACCAACAAAACAATAGGAGAGAATTTTAAAAGGGATCCTTATCAATAATAAATGTCTTAATTCATGACATAGTTATGGTTCTGGCCTCTGTTTCCTATGGGGAAGGGAGGCAGATACAGATTCCAGTTTTTACAGAACCATTCCTGTTTTATCCTGTCTAAAATCCAGACGCAGATGTCAGGGTTCTAAAGTTCTGTACAAAACTGTCACCTGTGCTCTGCCCTTCAGAGAAACTGCCAAAAAACACGTGTGATGGCATCTTGAGAGCACAGAAATGGAACAATTCCCTTTCTGTTCACACGCCCAAGGGTCAGGGAGGGCAAACACAGCTTCAGTATTGTCTGTGTTACTGTCTGGGTGAGTATTTCTTACAAGAGGAGAAGTAGTTCGAGTTTTCAGTGAAGACTCTCAGTCCCACTCCTGATCTTGTCTTTATCAGAACCTTTGGCCAGAGATTAAATGAGGAGTTCAATGAGGCACATGAAGGGGGAAAATGCACTTTGAAGCAGCAGTTTAATTATTTATAAGCAGACATGAAGAAAACTTGACACAATCGTTAAGGATTTATGAAAATCAGCCAAGTATTCCAAAGGATAACAGTATATTTTGAAGCATCTGTCATAAAACAATGTGAAACGTGGATGTTGCTGGCAAAGTATCCTCTAAATATAACTTGTTACGTTTATTTCTGATAAATAAAGAGGAACTGGTACATAAATACAAAATTTAGAATTCTGTCTCAGTTTAGGATAGATAACACAGAGTTTGTACATTAAAAAAAAAAGACAACAACAAAAATACTAAGATTGCCCAAAGGTATCATTTTAAAAACAATTTTAAAATAGATTTATGCAAATTTAAAATGTCTCACCCTACATGTAGCCTGCCTTTATAGCAATCTATGTCCTTCACCCACAAAATGCATACAGAATACTCACCTCAGGATTTCTTTCCTTGTGAAAAATGTGCAGTCCTGTGAAACAAGAAAAGATAGAACATGTAATGAGTTTTTAGCACACATTGGCCCAAACTTTTCCTGTACAGTGACTTAGATGAAGCTATATTGTAAAATACGTAACTAAGCATTAAAGCTCTCTTTTTGGCATATAATGAGAAGTATTTCATAACTGTTCTTCTTGAGGTAAAAATCAAACTATATTACTGAAATCTGTGGTGTAATTCAGTACTTCTACTTATTAATTTTTAAAAGACATGCTAAAAAAAAAAACCTTTACCATTATTCAGTGTTGTGTTCAAACAGCCATTTAGTTTGGTTTATACCTGATATGCATCCAATTGCTCTTGAGTGAAAATGGTTTGCTTATTGCCCATTTTGAGCTGGGAATGTCGACTTTTTTCCCATCCTTCTTTCCCCAAAGTCACCTTTATAGGTCGTCTGGATATTCAGTTATTAAAAGCTGCAACAATGAGGTTCAGGTACAGCAGAGGATCAGGTAACCAACTTCCACAGGCTGCGAAGTATCATAACAGGAGCATTTCATCAAATCTTTAGTCTGGCTGCTTGAGGCTCTTATCCAGCAGCGCTCACCTGTCTCCTGTGAGCACCACAAAGACTCAGGTTACAGCATTTAGCAAAACAGCTAATAGCTGCTCATTAGTGCCTTTGAGCAGCAGGTATTCGTGTATCCCGCTTTTTCATGCCTTCAGATACGGCAAATTAACTGAAAAGTGTTAGTAGTATTTTCCTTCTTTAAGAATTAACACCGAATGCTGGAGATTTGGTAACCACTCCTTCCTTTCCTTCTCACTCTTCACAGAATAATTAAGGTTGGAAAAGCCCTCTAAGATCAGAGTCCAACCATTAACCCAGCACTGCCAAGGTAACCACTAACCCATGTCCCCAAGTGCCACAGCCAAGTTTTATGGACACTTCCAGGGATGGTGACTCCGCCAGTGCCCCGGGCAGCCTGTGCCGGTGTTTTCCCTTCGTGCACATTGTGTGCTAATGGTAGCTTGTACTGGAGGTAGTATCCATAAATTATTTACACACGGAAGTTCAGAGTTAGTCCCTTTCCAAGTACAGCCCCTCTATTATTAGGATTCTTTAGTAATTTCCATACAAATTACGTAACCCCAGTGAACTTCATATTCTCAAAGCATGGGTCTGCACCTGGGCAGGGTCTTTTTGACCTATAAGCCTGATTTTAATATTATAATAAAGATAGTTCAGCTCTAGGATACACAGATCTTAAGTCTTTTGCCAAGTTAGCCATGTATTCATAGACATACATCACCATCTTGATTTACTACATCCCTAAATCTTGTTAGTTCCCAGATGTCCCTGACTGCCCGTTGCACTCATTAGGTCTCCTCCCTTGCTGATCAGGCTTAAAAGTACACAAAGAGCGTGCACCAAAAAACATCCTGACTTAAAGAGAATCTTGACATATTCCACATATTGCGACAGTCCCGCCCCGGTTCCCCTCACGGAGGGTCGGACGAGGCTCATTCTGTCCCGGTTTCCCTCACTGAGAGGGCGGACAGGGCTCGTTCCCGGTTCCCCTCACGGAGGGGCAGAAGGGGCTTATTATTCCCGGTTCCCCTCACGGAGGGAGCGCACGGGGCTCGTTGCTCGTTCCCCTCACGGAGGGAGCGCACGGGCCTCGTTCCCCGTTCCCCTCACGGAGGGAGCGCACGGGGCTCGTTGCCCGTTCCCCGTTCCCCTCACGGAGGGAGCGCACGGGGCTCGTTCCCCGTTCACCTCACGGAGGGAGCGCACGGGGCTCGCTGCCCGTTCCCCTCACGGAGGGAGCGCACGGGGCTCGCTGCCTGTTCCCCTCACGGAGGGAGCGCACGGGGCTCGTTCCCCGTTCCCCTCTCCCCGGCCGCGCCGTTGCGGCGGTGCCGGCAGAGGGCGCGGGCGCGGCCGTTCCGCCATGGCGGATTACGAGGCGGTGCAGCGCGGGCCGCTGCGGCTGAAGGGCAGCGGGGGGGCCCTGGGGGCCGGCAAACGGTGAGGGGGGACCGGGGGAGACCCGGGGGGACATCGGGGAACCGGGGGCGGTGAGGGGGGACCGGAGGAACAGGGGGACACCCACCCCCGGGGCCGGGCGCTGACCGGACTGTGCCCGCAGGAAGAAGAAGAAGGCGAAGGAAAAGGCCCAGATCCTGGAGCACATCGTGAGCAGCAAGAAGCAGGAGGAGGAGAAGAAGCGCGGGCTGGACAAGCGGACCCCGGCGCAGGTGGCCTACGAGAAGATGCAGGAGAAGCGGGTAAGGCTTTAAAAACCACCCCCGTCACCCCTCGGGTGCGGCCGCTGAGGGTCCGCGAGTGCTCGGAGTAACCGGCCCCTCTGTGTCTCCCGCAGCAAATGGAGCGGATCCTGAAAAAAGCCTCGAAAACCCACAAGCAGAGAGTGGAGGTGAGCGAAATCACCCCGAGTCCCTCGGAGTGTGCTTATTATTGTTGGGCTGGAGGAACTGTTTCACCTTGTGAAGCACAGGCCCACAGGGGTCTTGTGGTTCGATTTGGTGATGTCAGCACCAAATGTTAAACGTTTTCTTTCTCTTTTCCTCCCCCAGGACTTCAATAGGCACTTGGATACTCTGACTGAGCATTACGACATTCCCAAAGTCAGCTGGACTAAGTGACTGGGCTGCTTGTCACGGGCTCTGGAGCAGGAGTTGTGTTTTGTTTGCATCGAGCAAGGGTTGCCATGTAAATGTGTGTGTTCTCCATATTGTCTAATATATCTTCTAAGCGTTTTATGACTTTGTACTGTCTTATTTTATAGCTTTGCTTGTTAAAGCCAAACGTCCGGCAAAGGCTCCTCTTGGCTGAGGAGCTCTGGTTTATGTGGGTGCAGAGGGTTGGTTTTTTAGTGTTTAAAATGAGATTAAGGCCAAAATTAATTGCTGCAAGCCAGCTGGAAAATGTTCCTTTATTTGTTCTCCTTTTTGGAAGCGAAGAGTCTGACAGTCTCATATTTAAGTTTCTTTTGTAAGTTATGGGAATTGTAAAATTCCTTTCTATCAAGTTCTTTCAGAGGTGATGTTGCAAAACGTGAAGTATGTAAAATTTTCTTAAGGAAGGGTGTTCTTTCATGTTTGATCTTTGTATACTTTTAAACCTAATTAACAAGAGGGGAAATTTAATCCAGGGAAGAGAGAGCAGCCAACAAGTTCTCAGTGATGTCCAAGTTTTGATAGTTGGGGTGCTGGATTTGTGGAATACACCGGGCACCCAAGCTTGGCAATTTTGGAATATATAATCAGTGTCTCTCTTGAGTGTTGCACACGAGGTAACAAATATGATTTTGTGGACAACAGTATTTCTATCCAAAGTTCTTTCAGAGGTGAGGGGTCTGCTGCAACTTGTAACTTTGATATAACTTATTAAAGCGCTGGTTTCATCCTTTTTTTTTTTTGTGCTGATTTACATATAAAATCGGGGCAAATTTTGTGTGTGAAGTTCTGGAAGGGCCACGCCTGCCTTTACAATTCTCACCCCCTGAGAGGGACGACACGTACCTCGACATTGAAAATCCTGTCGCTCCTCTTCAATCGGAATATTGGAATAATCAGAATATTGGAATAATCGGAATATTGTTTTTACCCCGAATTTGGTCCCTGTGGTTGAGCCAGGGGAGCTCAGTGTGGGTCCCACCTCAGCCTGGACAGACCCTCGTTCCTCTCGGGGGTCTGTGCTAGCGCTACGGGGGAAAACACCTCACCGCGCTGTGCCAGCGCTACTGGACCATTCATTCCCAGCGGGATAAAACTGGGGAACACATTCTGGGACTATTTATCAGCATTCGTCAGATTACGATGTCCTTCCGCGGCCGCGGTGCTCCGCGTGTATCCCTGCGCGGAGGCGCGGCCGGTCCCGGGCGGTGCCGTCACTTCCCTCGGAACCGCCGGGGGAAGCGGAAGGGAAGGAAGGGGAGCGGGCGGGACGCGGCCCGGGCGGGCTCGGGGCGATGTCGGCCAGCGCCGTCTATGTGCTGGACCTCAAGGGGAAGGTGAGGCCTGGCCGCGGGGGCTCTGCGGGGCCGGGGGGGAGCGGTGCCCCCGGGACCCTCCGCTCTGAGGGCGCCGCGCGGTGCCCGAGGGGCTGCGGGGGCCGCGCTTCCCTCCCCGGCACCGCCGCGATGCCACCCCCGGGTGTCCCCGAGGTGCCGCCACCCCCGGGTGTCCCCGAGGTGCCACCACCCCGGGACAGGGCACTTGTGGCCTGTGTCCCCTCGCGATGCTGAATGAGGCAGCGCGGCCCGCGGATATTAATCTCTGCCTCAGAGGAGCTCCGTGTTTTCCCCTCTTCAAATCATTGTTGGGGCGCGAGCAGCGATGAGGAATAACCGTGGGAAGCGTTAATGGCGCGACTTCGCAGTGAAATATTGGTGTTTGCATCCTAATCAGCAAAAGTATTTTGGCGGTGTGATTTGCGTCTGTAAGTGCAGAGAGACTCGAGGGAAGCAGAGTGACTTTAGAGAGGCCTTGTGTGTTTTTCTTGCGCGGTAACACCCTTATAAAAGAGAAAAAACCGAGGGTTTGGGTGCTCTCTCCGTAGGTTCTGATCTGTCGGAATTACCGCGGAGATGTGGACATGTCAGAGGTGGAGCATTTTATGCCAATCCTTATGGAAAAGGAGGAGGAGGGGACGCTTTCCCCTATCCTAGCACACGGAGGAGTTCGTTTCATGTGGATTAAACACAACAACCTGTATCGTATCCTTTGAGCTGCTGAAAGAAAGGCCAAGGGCTGCTCTTATTTTCTCTATTGACAAAGTGCAAGTTGGAGAATGGCTGAAGTCACATAAGATGAAAAAAAATTTGGTTATCTAGTAAAGTTGGTTAAATAAAATAGGTTATATTAAATAAAGTTGATTTATTCTTTACGTAATGTTATGTGCACCAGCAGTACAGGGTGTTTATATTAATTTTACTCTAATAAGCTCTTTGCAAAAAGGTATTTCTATTAATTTTACTCTAATAAATTATTTCCTGAAGGTTTATTTTCCTATCTCCTTAGATCAGAGGTGCCGTTAAATAATTATTAAATAATTAACTCTTAGTTTTTCTGGCCAACTCTAATTGCCTAAAGGCTTTTTGAAATGCACTTACTAAACCTTTTTTTTTTTTTGAATGCACTTTTCCTGAACATCCTTTACCAGTTGTTGCAACATCTAAGAAGAATGCATGTGTATCACTGGTGTTTTCATTTTTATATAAAGTAGTTCAGGTGAGTATGAAATTTTGGAAGTAACCTCTGCTTTCAGTTCAGTCTAAATCTGACCTCAAATAGAAGCGCAAAGAGCTTTTGCATTTTCAAAGAACTCTGACAATAGCATTTTTACTTTATATTTGGTTATTTTGTAGAACTATCTCCCTAACCACTAAAAAAGGCACTGATATTTTGTAGCTGAGTAGGCAAAGGATGGGGCACAGTGCTGTAAGTAGTTGCACAAGACCTGAGCACCCAGAGGAGAATTGTGAATTGGTGCATGAGTAGTGGTGCATCACAATAGAGCCTGTGTTCAGTTCATCTCTACCTGGTGTGAAAAATATTTTCTCCAGAATAAATATTTTTCATCACAGAGTTCCTTCTGGGATTGTTTCTCTCTTGTGTTTTAATTGAGGTGGGTTTCCTGATGCTGTTTGTGGAGTATGGGGTTTGGTTTGGAGCTTTCTAAAATGATTATTTCGGGTGCAGGAACACATTCTGTGTGCTCTGCTTGCTCAGTTCGTGTCCTTCTTCTCCCCCTCCCTCCTGTCATTTTGTTTCAGGTTTTTTCTGAATATTTCAAGGAGTTGGAAGAAGAGAGCATTAGGGATAATTTTGTTATTATTTATGAGTTGTTAGATGAGCTTATGGATTTTGGGTATCCACAAACCACTGATAGTAAAATTTTACAAGAGTAAGTATCATTCTGCATCGCAATGCCCTCAGAGAGTTTTGAGCATTCTTCTGTGGGCAAACAAATGTTTGGCTTGTTCTAACTATCAGAAAATTAATTTTCATTTTTTTCATGCCAATGCTGTGGCTGGTGAAGGTACATCACTCAGGAAGGTCACAAACTTGAAACTGGAGCCCCACGTCCACCTGCCACTGTTACAAACGCTGTTTCATGGAGATCAGAAGGCATAAAATACAGGAAAAACGAGGTGTTCCTGGATGTCATAGAGTCTGTTAACCTTTTGGTGGGTATCTTGAACTTGAACTCTTAGTGAGAATTGTAGTGGGAAGTGTTATAAAGAGCTTTTTGTTTGAAAATCTGCAATAAAAGGTCAGACTGACTGTGGCTGGTGTGCTGTGCCACTCAAAGCAGCATCAGTCTTTAAGATTGAGTGGTCTCAGGGACATCCAGTACAAATAATCCTTTAATTGTTTGTATTGATAATTTTTGGGTATGTCTTTTCCTTCTCTGTCTGTGCCATCACCTCCCTGATCTAATTCTGCTGTGCTGGATTAATTCCTCGGGAGAAACACATCCAAGAGAACCCCGGGGCCTGGGGATGGGGTGGGAGTGTTGCTTGATGTCCCAACATGTCACATCAGAGCAGTCTCACCTTTCTCTTCCTCTTTGTTCAGGTCAGTGCCAACGGGAACGTGTTACGGAGCGAGATCGTTGGGTCCATCAAGATGCGGGTGTTCCTGTCGGGAATGCCGGAGCTGCGCCTGGGCCTCAACGACAAAGTCCTCTTTGACAACACAGGCCGTGAGTGTCCTGCTGGTGTTGTGATAACTGTGAGAGGTGGGAGCTGGAGCCTGAAGCCTGGGGATAGCAAGGAAATCACAGAATCGTTAAGGTTGGAAAAGCCCACTAAAATTAAGTCCAACCATTAACCAACAAGTGCCACATCCACATGGCTTTTAAATCCCTCCAGGGATGGCGACTCCTCCACCTCCCTGGGCAGCCCCTTCCAATGCCTGACCAACCTTCCAGTGAAGAAATTCTTCCTGATGTCCAGCCTGACCCTCCCCAGCACAATTTGAGGCTGTTTCCTCTCATCCTGTCCCTTGTTCCCTGGGAGCAGAGCCTGACTTCCCCCGGCTCCCCCCTCCTGTCAGGGAGTTGCAGAGAGCCAGAAGGTTCCCCCTGAGCCTCGTTTTCTCCAGGCTGAGCCCCCCCAGCTCCCTCAGCTGTTCCTGGTGCTCCAGCCCCTTCCCCAGCTCTGTTCCCTTCTCTGGACTCGCTCCAGCCCCTCCAAGTCATTCTTGTCATGAGGGGCCCAGAACTGGACACGGGATTCGAGGTGTCTCAGCAGTGCCCAGCACAGGGGGACAATCCCTTCACTATTCCTAGAAAGTGTTGGCTAGAAGGGAGGACTGGCAGCCTGTGCAGCACCTTGACCTGTGGTGTTTTCTGCCAGGTGGGAAAAGTAAATCAGTAGAACTGGAAGATGTGAAGTTCCACCAGTGCGTTCGTCTCTCCCGCTTTGAGAACGACAGGACCATCTCCTTCATCCCCCCTGACGGGGAGTTTGAGCTCATGTCCTATCGTCTGAACACCCACGTGAGTCTGGATGTTTGCTTTTTTAAGTGATAGTGCTTTAAATTGTAGCCACAATGGCTTTCCCTTAATTTTTTTTTTTCAAATCTTGGGCAGTACAAGAGTTTTTAAGTCAACTGTTAATAGTTTGCTCTTTTTGGAGGAAGAAGGAGTTAAGAAGTAACTTGGCAATAAGTCTCTGTATTTTCAACTACTATTCAGTAGTTTTTCAATACTCTGACTTTTTTATGTTTTATTTATCTAACTACATAATGAA